GGTTTAAATTTTAAACCATATGTTTAGAGAATCTTAATGAATTTTTATTATAAATATTGTATTCAAAATTATATTAATTAATTAAATTATATTATAAAAATTATATTTATTATAAAATATTTTTATAGTATTTATATTTATTTTATTTTATTTATAATATTTAAAATTGCTAAAATTTTTTTTGTGCGAATTCACTAATTAAATAATATTTAATTGATTAATAAAGTGTAACAATATAATTGCCCATTAGGAAGGGTAATTTGGTCGCGTATTATGATATGAATCATAAATCACCATTATTGGTTCGGCTCACTCCGCTGGCTGGCTTGCTTGCTCATACGAGATAAACATGCCAGGGAGTTGATTGCCGATAGAAGTACAGGTGAGCCGCCCGGATTTTTGGACAAATTTACTCATGCAAATCAGTATTAGCGCTTGGAATTGAGCAACAACCTATTAAGTCATTTTATCTCTCACATGGGAAGATTTCTAAGAGAAAATTACTAAGCTAATAATGTGAATAAACTTAAAAATAATATAGTATTTTTTTTAAATAAAAAAAAAAAAAATTGAGTGGTCACCGCTCATTAGAAATTTTCACCAGGGAGTACCAAATTTTTACCACTTGGTGACATTCGTGAATCGCATGCACCGCATGCATTTTTTAATGAAAAAAACTTTAGTCCGAATGCATAATGCTTGAAATTTTCGAACGTCCAACCGTATTTCTTTTATTCATATGAGAAAATATAATTCATTTACGATGCAAGAATAGATCATTTTTCGTTATTATAATTGAGAAAACAGATGCGCTTATGACACTTTGACCTTTCACTTCTATAATCATTATAACCAAAATTTTTTTCATGAGAACCAAATGCAAATTTTTTAAATGAACCCTCACTATTACTGGTTAGGCTCCACTGGTTTATTGCACTAGAGGAATATATTAGGGGATCCCTTGGCGATAGAAATAGAGATAAATCAACAGCATCACCAGGATTTACCCCTGTGAGGAATAGAACCTCAGCATCGGCGCTTCGAATTGAGCAACAACCCACTTGAGCCATTTCTATGCCTCAAGCAACAAAATATTATGTAATGTGGTTTGAAATTAAGAAATATGAGCCTTACAAAGGTATCGTTTTTGCTTCGATCACTTATTCTCAGATTCTATTACACCATTATTTGGTTTCATTTTACCATAGCAAACTCGTTAGAAACGTTTCTTTGGGTACGATGAATTAATGATTCGATTTATTTTTTCTCATTATTTCTATTTAAAAAAATTAAATTTAAATTTTTAAATTTAAATAAATTTTATATAAAATTATTATTTTTATTTTATTTATTTTTATATAAATTTAAATTTAGATTTTAGAATTGAATTTTATTTTTTTTTAAATTCTAAATTTTAAATTTAAATCAAAATTTTTAGAATTGATTCTACAAATTTTAGAATTTTAAATTTTCAAATTTTATTAAATTTTAAATTAAATTTATTTATTTATTTATTTATTTTATTTATTTTTTATTTATTATAAAATTTTTAAAATTGATTCTCCATTCTCAGATTCCATCTTAGCGCGTAAATGTTGAAGTTCCAATCTCATTAGGAATAAAACTATTTTCCCGATTATTTTCCCGAAATTGGCGAAATAGCCGTCTATTTGCAAAAATTTGCCTCGTCCGATAAACTAACAAAGGAATTGCAACCAGAAATTTTGCTGAATGTTATTAGAAAAAATAATACTTCACTTGTCAAAAATAATTAAAATGATTTTTAAAAATTTTATGAAAATTTATGAAAATGAAATTTTTTCATTTTTATTCACTTAACTTATTATCATCACACGTACGTAAAATTGCCCTCACGTGAACGTACGAAACGGAATAATACACCATTTCCACGTTTTAGTTAAATTCTAGGAAAACGCGGATTTTCTATCTTGTTTCACCTATAAATCTTCGCAACGCATCTCTCAACAAAAACTCCGCCCAACAATTGCGACACGTAAATAACGTCAAATGCTCCACCCATCGCACGTCAAAGGACAATTTGATTTAATTTTCATCATCAGTCGCTTCGTTTCATTTCCTTTTACTTATTCGAATATTTATTTTTTCACGTATTTCTTCACGTTTTATTTCTATTACTAATTTGCAGATTCTCTTGTTTGATGTCAAGGCGAGTAGAAATTTAAATGTTTACCTTAGATTAAATAAGAGAGAAGAATGCAGTAATAATAAAACTAATAAAACTTCTATTATAAACAAGGTGAAATTTTATTATTTTTTCTTTATTGAATAAAAGTTTTGCTCGAAAATCAAAATTCTCAACATTCGTGGTGCAACCTTCTTTAAGTCCCTTTAGGTTTTGGATCTCAGCGTTTGTGGTACTTCTTATCCTTAAGTCTCTTTAGGTTTTGGATCTTAACATTTGTGGTACTTCTTATCTTTAACTCGATTTAGGTTTTTGATATTTCCTAAATATTCAACATTATGGTACCTAAGAAATAAATTTCAGGCAATAAGCTTTTTCTTTTATTAATTGCGCCAGGTTTTTCAGATCTCTCATTAGCCGATATTCCTTTGCTTTTCTCTAAATCTTCTTTTTCGACTATTTTCTTATTTTACATTGTTATTTATTATTTAATCTATATTTTCATCTTTATAGTATACATTTTATCATTTTATCATTTTATCAATATGTGATCTACTAAAAAAAAAAACTAGTTTATCTGAATATTTTTTAAAATTTGATTATTTTGCCTCTTTTAAAGCTGTTTTCATTGCAAATCCATTTTGGTAGGCAGTCCTCTCGGCAGCCATTCTAGTTTTGCTCCTTTCAAAGCCATTTTCATGCCAAATCCATTCTGATAGGCAGTTTCTCGGCAGCCATTCTAGTTTTGCTCCTTTCAAATCCATTCTGATAGGCCATAAGCCATTTTACTTGTTGCTTAATACCGAATTGACTATAAACATTTACTTTACTTATTTCTTTACTTATTTCTTTATTTATTAAAAAAAAAAGAAGCAAATTTTAATTGAGTCTCCCAGTTGAATTGGTTGAAAAAAACCTCAAGCGAACGAGAAATAAACGAGAAGAGAGATAACTCTAATGGAATGGATTATTTTTGTTCTGTGCAATTCTTTTCTCTATTAGATAGAGTTTTTCGTTTATTAGGTATGTATATTTTTTCTTTTAGGTTTAAAAATTTAGGGCCTAATTAGGGCCTAAAAGTTTTGTTTCATTTTAAAATTATACATCACCGCATTGCTGCTGCTAGACATAATTTTTCATTTGGGAATTATCTTTGTTTTTTTTTTTTGTCTTTTTTTTTAATATCAGTAATCTCATAAAGCTTAAATTTCCTTTATAATTGTCAATTTTTATCGTTTTTTTTTTTTCGTAAACAAAACTTTTTGC